AAGACCATCTGGAGAACTAACAACGGAAAAACTTATTTTACGGCATGAGCCACCACAAATACCACAAACAGATAATGATGAACAAAATGAAAAACTAATCTCAAAAATTCTTTTTAGGCTTCAAGAAGAAAAATTAAAAACTCAACCTCTTGGCGAAAACCAAGGAAACGGAGCAACAGATAAAATTGCCGAAGTAATCAGAAAGCCAACTCGACTAAACGAACCTAAATCTCTGACTGTTTCACAAATAGAGGAAATGAAAGAAGATGAAAGTGAAAATCAAAACGAATCACCATCCCGATTTAAGACCCACAAACGTCTTGCTAATCCAAAGGAAACGGAAGCAGAAACTTCAGAAAACGAAAAAGTTCTTCAAGGAGATTTAGAATTTAAACAACCATCGTTTCAAAAAGTTATTGTTACTGAAAGGAAAAAAAAAAATAAACAACTTACAAAGTTACTTTCCGATGATAATGAAAACGACGAACCCAAATCATCAACTTTGCCTATTTCTGAAGAGAGAAAAGCATTGTTTAAAAAAGTCAACGATGCCCTCGATCACACTTTTTCAAAAGTGTCTCCTGAGGAAACCTCGTCAGAGCCTACATTTAACAAAAGTCCGTTAGCTGAAGCACCTAACAGCGTACAAAAATCTGACTCAAAAGGGCCAGTAGTTTCATATCGTCATCGAAGTTTTTATAACGAAAAAACTGCTAGCGATGAAGACTTACCAACAACAAATATTCTTAATCACGATAAATTTCGTGTAATAAATAATAACATTGCAAGAGTTTTGCATTGTCAAAGGTGTGAAACAAATCCACCTAATAATAGAGATGTTTTAGAAAAAGAACCCTCTGGTTTTGATTTAGTATTTGTTAAAACGAATAAAACCTAAACGTTGTAGAAAATTTACACATTTTTCCAGACTCTGATTAAAAGGATTCAAATCTCTTAATTTTATGACTTAAAATTATCTAAGCATGGTATCTGATATCTCATGTATCCTGACTTATTATTTTACTTTAACAGCAGGTGGATGTAAAGTAAAAGTCTGTGTGTTGTTGACTGTTTGGTATGTCTGGAATGTTCTTTTACAGAAAAAAATTTGTGTCACTAAGTTAAATCATTTTCAAGGACTACCAACTTATACTTGTAGTTACAAACAAAAAAAGAGGCAACACTAGGCATCACTAATAGTTAACTAGCATTAATCGAAGATTAAGTACTTTGAAAAAGACAAGAGATAACTCTTATTGAAAAGCTTGCTTGAAAGACCAAAAAAAATTGAACTTTATGGATAATTGTCTTGAAAATTTTTTCAAAAAGTTTTTAAATATATTTTGATTGACTCAGCTCGCCTCTTTTGCCCAGTTCAGGGACTTCTCATGTATGCAACCGAGGAAAACCTTTTTACCTGTAGCAAAGAATTTTTTTTTTTTTTGGAGTTGTTTTTATTATTTTTAATTGTAAAGATATCTTCCGTAACAACTAAATCAACTAAATTTTAGACATTGCACTCTCAACTGGGGTAGACTAAGAAAACATTTTTGTTGTATTTTTGTTCCAAAGGTCTAACTTTTGAGGTTTTTTGCAAAAAATTCTTATTTGGCATAAGTACATATGCAAAACATTCTTAATTGGCATAAACACATTTAAATTTCGATTTTTCTTAATGCTTGAACGTATCATATCGAAAACAAAAAAAATTCTTGCGTCCACCTCAGCATTTTGTAATTATTTTGAAAAAAATATAATTACAAAAAAACAAGTTTACAACTTTGAGGTACACATAGGTACAGATAGGTAACAGATTTAAGGTAAATATGTTAGATTATAAATAGTATTAGTAACAAGAAAAAATATGTGTAGAATAAAAATATAAATTTAAAACAGAACAAAATAGATTAATAATAATAAAAAAGTCATTTAATTATAAATGTGTATACTCTGTTCCAAACTTATATAACAAAAATATAAAGATGAGTAAAATAGAATTTAAGTTATACCAAACTGCTGGCAACATGAAAAATATTAAAAACACTAAATTTTTTTTTTTTTAAACAACTCTTTTTAAGTATAGGGAAAAACTGGGAAAGACGGCGAACGTTTTGAAAACCCTGAGTAATTGCAAAACTATTAGTCATGAAACACTATTTCTTTCCCAGTGGGCATGGACGTAAAAAAGTTGTCTTTTAAACGTCTTACACACGTTTTGGACGGCTTTTAAACGTTCAAAAGACTTCTTTTTTTTGGTCCTGTGCCCACTGGGTTGTCACTATGTTTTTATATCATAATAATTCATTGCCTGCATGAGTTTTTAGTTTCCAAGATAAATAATTTTTTACAAAAATTAAAATGTAAAATTCATAAATTTGTCATCTGGTCAAGTGACCGGAGCAAGATGACTTTTTTGCGTTTTCTGATTCTAATTTTATAAAAAACGAACAAAGTACACAAAATAAACGCGCGTCGCAAATAAATCTCTAAAAAAGTTAAACCTAAAGGACACCATCCATTAGCAATAACCAAAGCCAAGTTATATAAAATACAAATACAAGATAAATACAGTTTCGTTTCAATTTTTAAATTTTTTTGGTGCGTTGTTATATGAAAATCCATCTAGCTCCATTCTTCATCATGCCCAGTTTTTCCTTATTTAATATTTTTTTAATATAATCTTATTACCGGCATGATATAATTTAAATTCTGTTTTACTGAGGTTTCTATTTGATGGTAAGTTTTGACCTGAGCATTAAAATGTGTCGTACTTATTAAAACGAAACCAAAGTCTAGAAGTTGATGACATCTAGAAGTTGATGACGAGAATTAATTAAATTGATATCTTATTTACTAATCTTGCTTATAATATCTTAACCAACATTTTGAGCAAAAAATTTTTCCTAATAAACGTAAAACAGTGTCGGTGATACCAGTCTTAAAACCGAGTGAAGTCACTTTTATCTCTAATAAAAGACCATTCTTTTTTCTATCATAAATTTTAAAAACTTTTACAACATATATAATAAATAATAGTCAAACAAATCGATAAAATCAATCACATTAATCAATGAAAGCTAAATAACTATTTTATTTTTCTTTTTTTTTTATTACTAGATAGGTAAAAACTATATAAGATTATATAAATATATAATTAAAAAAAAGTAATAAAGTAATTGAAAATATTAAATGTAAAAAAAAAAAAAGTAATCAAGTTATCGAAAATATTAAATATATATATATATATATATATATATATATATATATATATATATATATATATATATATATATATATATATATATATATACATATATATATATATATATATATATATATATATATATATATATATATATATACATATATATATATATATATATATATATATATATATATATATATATATATATATATATATATATATATATATATATATATATATATATATATATATATATATATATATATATATATATATATATATATATATATATATTAAAAAAAAAATGGTGCGGTTTTAGGTGACATTCTGACCCTTACAAAAAAACCCAGCGAACTTCCAGCGAAAGTTCGCTGGAAATTAAAAGATCACTGGAAATTTACTAAGATCACTGGGTTTTCGCTGGATTTCCATGGAAACAAAAGACTTCGCTGGAAGTTCGCTGGAAATCCAACGAAAAACTTCCAGTGATCTTAAAGTTCGCTGGAAGTTTACTGGGTTTCTTGCGAAATATTTCGCGGTGATGTAAAAAGCGTTGCTGTTACAACTTCTGCAAGCAGTTAAAACTTGGAAAGTTGATAATATAGCTTCTTAAAATAATATTTCAAATTTTTGTATAAAAGTAATCCTTTTTATTTTATTTTTTGCATCTAATAGATGATCTATAGTGTGAGTTTCAATTATTATTAGTTCTACTCAAGTTACAAAACAAAATCATCTGGTATGTTGCTCAAAATGTTTATTTCTCTTAAGTATTGTTTATCATGCATTTATTTTAATAAATAAAATGCATTCGCTTTATGCGAATGCATTTTATTTATTAAATTCAACTTTATTATTTTATAAAAATAATTTTTATAAATGTCTTTATGATTAAGTATTTTATATTAAAAATAATAAATAACAATCTGTTTCTCTCTCTCGCTGAAAGAGAGGGATATATAATATATATCCCTCTCTCTCTCAGTATATATATATATATATATATATATATATATATATATATATATATATATATATATATATATATATATATATATATATATATATATATATATATATATATATTAGTAGAAAGTCACTTAATAGAAAATTTTTTAAAAGTTTTCGATGTAACAGTGTAAAATGAAAAAAAATTTTTGTTAAGTAATTTTCTACTTATTTATAATTGCTCTGTTCTTTTAAGAACATTGAGCACTCTATTTTGTAGAATACATTTTGAATATTGTTTAAATATATATATATATATATATATATATATATATATATATATATATATATATATATATATATATATATATATATATATATATATATATATTTATATATATATATATATATATATATATATATATATATATATATATATATATATATATATATATATATATATATATATATATATATATATATATGTTCTTTATTTAATGTATGCATTCTTTTTTTTTTTTTCTTTTTTTAGCTCTAAAGATCCAAACCGAAAAGAATGCCTAAAGTGGTTTTCAAAAGATGAATTGACGAATTTCTTAATTCTTTTTGTTTCGTTGTGATAATTTGTCGTATGAGAACGCTAACGAGAAAAAACTTTTTAAATATAGAAACATGCGTAATATAAAGTTTACTTATGCCTATAAAAAAATATGTTTTACATTAATTAATAAATTAACTTTTTAGTTTCTTGTTAAAAATTGTATTCTGTATTGAAGTTTATTTCTGAGAATTTGTAATTATACTTTAGATAATCTAATCCTACATTGTATTTTAATTTATAAAACTCGATATTTTAAAATAAATATATTACTTTTTTATCGCGCTTAACTTCTCTTATTTCGCGTTTATTGGTTAAAAAATTTTAAAATGTTTATAAACTTTTGAAACTTTTATAGCAAAAATAAAAAATCTTTTTTAAAAAAACTTCCAGCGAATCTATTTTTATACATAAACATGAAAATTCGCTAGAAAAGTTCACTGGAAGTTCGCTGGGTTTTGGAACAAGTTCGCTGGAAATTTCCAGTGAACTTTAGAGATCACTGGAAAAGATCACTGGAAGTTCGCTGGGTTTTGGAACATTTTTTCACTGGAAGTTCGCTGGGTTTTTTTGTAAGGGGACAAAACCGCACACTGGAGAAAACATTGAATTTTTTTAAGTTTTCCTCTTTTTTTATTATTACATTTGGCTGCAGGTGCTTGTTCTTCATTATTATTTTGCTGTGGCTGCTCAACATTGTTTTGCTCAGGCATTTAAGTACTTGGCATAAAGAGTCAACGCTTTGCGTTAATTTTAGCAACTTTTACATCTTCCTTTGTAATCTTTTTGCTTGAGCAACTCGATCACGTTTTCTTTTTAATACATTTTTCGTCAAATTTTGACATGTTGCACTGTTTCAATTTCTTATCATAAGATTGATTTCTGGCTTGAAAACGTTGCTTCAATTCCATTTCGATACTGTTTTTGCAACGCTTAACACATGCTTGATACCTATCAAAACTCGAAACTGACGTAGCTAATAAAAGTGATAATTGGAGTGTAGTTGGAGTAGGTGCTGCAGCGGCTTTTGCAGATGATGAAGCTGTAACTGAGCAAGACAGCAAAGGTGCTGCGGAGACTGAGAACGATGATATTGGATTAAACGTTTGTGTGATTGCTAATGCCTTATGATTTAGGTTGAAATAATTAATATAAGTGATAATAAAATAATAAAAAATAAGTGAATGATATGGTTTAAACCGGTTTTACTCTATAGTTTCTCATTTGTATTATTTTTCAAAAACATTAAAGTTGCTAATTTTAACATTTTTGAAAAATAATCAAAATGAGAAACTATAGAGTTTTAACGAAGAAAAGCTTAACAAAAAATTAAAAAAACATAATATTAATGTGAATCTGCTACGCCCTTATTTTTATCGTGTTTGGTTCTAGAACGCTAGGCAATTTTCTTAAATATATTGAATATTAAAAAACATTTTTTGAATAAACCATTTATAAATTTTACTTGCTAAGAAGTTTCATTCATTGGGGAATGTGAAAATTAAAGTTACTTAAATTAAATTATGAAAATAATCAATGTGCGTCATCTCATTTATTGAATAAATTTTCTTTAATTTATTGTTTAAATGTTAATTGATAAAGTTAAATAGCTCCAATGTTTTTAGTTTAGAATCAATGGTTTTAGTTTAGAATCAGTCAAGTTTAAAATGAAATTTAAAACACGTAAAATGAGTATAATTTTTTTTTCCTATTAAATATTCAATAAAAAGAAATCTTTTAAAGATATTTTCTATCACACCATAACCCAATTATAGATTTAAGTTTGCGATCTTCAAGACTTTTTAATTTTACTTTTATAAGTTCCAATAAAGATTGAATTCGTTTTCCTAAGCGATAATAGAATTTATCAATGTCATCTTTTTTAAGCTACTCTTTAGCATTAATGTTCAATCTGTTATAATTTCGCACTTTATTCATATTTCAGTTTCCTATGGGAACCAAAAACGGATATAGCTAATTGCGTCTGAGATTTATACAACCTATTAAAAATTTACAACAAATGCTTCGAAGATTTGTCAAAATACGCACGAAAGTTTATGTCTATTGTTATATCCACAGACAGTTTATATATAGATATATATAAAACAAGCTTAATAAATAAAGAATTCTTTGATGAGCATTAGTTGAGAAGCAATGGAAAGACCTATTTTAAAGGTTTGTCTTACTAATAAAGATATTCAAACAATGAAAATTCAACATAAGTTATAAATATTATTTAAAAAAAATGGTTTTATAAATGTTATTATAAAATTCATATAATCATAAAATATCATAAAATGTTATCATAAAATTCTTTTTTTACAATAATTGTTAATAAATCTTTTTAATTGCGTATTGCTTTTTAGACTTTTAATGGAACAACGGTATATTGTTTTATTGCATCTGAAGGAAAAGGAGAGACAACGAACAAGTTATTTATTGGTGGAATACCATCTAAGGTAATTTGATGCAAACATTATAAAAAATTACAAAGACGTTTGATATTGAAACAACTATAAACAGACTACCCTTTATAAAGTCTGAAACGGTATTTACTAGGTAACCGAAAAAGAGCTAAACATATTCTTTTCTGAGTTTGGCAATGTTAAAGATGTGCGTATAGTAACAGACAGAATAACGGCAGAATGCAAAGGATATGGTTTTGTAACATTTGAAGATAAATCTGTAAGCGATAGACTAATTGCAACAAAAACTGTTCGCATGAATGGAAGAAAACTACGACTAAGAAAAGCTGTTCAAAGAAGTGCATCTCAGTTTGATAAAGTTTCAGAACAATTAAGAGGTATAAATGCACCTTAAGAGGTATAAATGCACCTTAAGAGGTATAAATGCACCTTAAATCCATTTAAACTTATTTTTATGATCCATTTTTTCCAACAAAAAAAGTTTTTCAAAGTTAAATTTCTGCACATTATAATTTTTTTTTTTTTTAGTTAGAAAGATTTTAGCTAAAACCTTACTGATTATTTACAATCTTTTTAATTATTAGGTTTCAAGATTTAGTTGTAGTTTAATGATTAAGTATTGAAACTTTTCTTGTAATGAAATATTAGCTGTGGTCTTTTGATACCGCTTCCTTTTACCAAACACTCCGTTAACTTTGCTTGTGTGGTCAAACTGAATTTGTAAATCTTTTCTTTTTCTTTTTTTTTTTTTAAACTATTTAAATAGTTAAAAAAAAAAAAAAAAAAAAGATTTACAAACTCAGTTTGACCACATAAGCAAAGTTAACGGAGTGTTTGGTAAAAGGAAGCGGTATCAAAAGACCGCACCTAATATTTCATTACAAGAAAAGTTTCAATACTTAATCATTAAACTTCAACTAAATCTTGAAAGCTAATAATTAAAAAGATTGTAAATAATCAGTAAATAATCAAAAATATTTTTAATATTAATTTACTTTCTTTTTAAACATATTTGTAGCGAATTCTTTCTAAATATAGTTTTACAAAGTCCAAAAATAACCAATTCGCAACTAATTATATGAAGCGATGACTTTATTTAAATAACTATTTTAGTTTATATTTTATAGAATAAAAAAAATTTCGTCTAAATGTAAAATTTGAAAAATTTTTATAAAACTTTTTTTTGTTTATATTTTAATTTCTTTTTTTAAATTGCCCCTATTTGAAAGAGTATAAAATTAGAAAATTTTTTATAAATCTTTTTTTTTTTTGCATATATTTTTATTTGTTTTTTTAAATTACCCTTATTTGAAAGAGTATAGATGTAGAGTTTTAGATGCGTGGCTGTTGTTCAAAGTAGCATTAACACCAAAAATTATGGAGTGGCGCATGTTATTGTAATACTCTAAATAAAGTCCATATAATATTTTTAGTATCAAAAAACAATTCCATCAGACCAAGTTCAAGAAGGCTACAACTATTTACCGATGACAGTTTGCAACTTGTAAACGATAGTTCTATGCTAAAAGCAAATATTCCAATGATTATTTCTTCATCTGCAATGTTTTCTCCTTTAACGCCACCGCCATCTCCTGCTCGTACGCAACATTCGATAATTTCTATGCATTCGATTGGTCAAAATACAACAGACATTTTTTCATCTCCTACTAATTGCAAAGTAAGAAATATAAGTTACTATTATAGTTTTTTTTAATTGCAAGTATTAATATTAAAAATGCCTATTTGATTTAATTTTTTAGTGTCTTTATAATTAATTTATATTTAATATATTTATATATTCTTTATACTTAAGGAATATATATTTGAATGACGATTCTTAAAAACACGCATTGTTTAATACACGTATTTACGAATCCTTTATGTAAAGTTTTTTTTTGCAAATATATGAGCCGTTTATTTTGAAAGTGGCATTATATATTAAATAACAAAAAACAATATTTTTGAACATCCATAAAGTATTTAAGAAGTGATACAGGTTAGCATTTTCTTTAAAATGTATCTAAGATTTGAAAAGCAAAACTAACAATGACTAACATATTTTAAATTTTATTTTAAGATATTTAAAAACCTATTATTGTATTATTTCATTTGATAAAAATCTAATTTTTAATTTAAAAATTAACATCCCAGTGGGTACCGGACCAAAAAAAGACGTCTTTTGAACGTTCAAAAGACATTCAAAAGACGTCCAAAACGTGTATAAAACGTTTAAAACACGTCTTTTTTACGTCCGTGCCCACTGGGATACTAAATAGATGACCTCCAGGGATTTCAAAAATGTTTTTTATTGTTTGATATTGTGACTTTTAAACATAAAGCAGGCTTTAAAAATAATTGCAGGTGCATCTACAAAACATTCAGTTTATCTTATGTTCATAATAAACCTCAAAGAACGTTTCATAAATTTGTCAATAAAAATTTTTTAACTTATCGCGTAATATTTTATAAAGAATTCAAAGAATTTTTCAAAAATTTTACTTTAGAGTTGGAGTTGGAGTTGGAGTCTGAGTTAGGCGCTACTGTAGTTTCTCTCCCCCCCCCCCTTTTTTTTTTTTTATTGTTGATTATGATAGAGATATCTTATGCTAATTAAGAATCGTATAAAAACATAGGTCTGAAAATTAACAGAAAGTGCTTTAATTTGATGTTGAAGTTTAAAAAATTACACTAAAAAACGTTAATATTCGCCATTTTTTAAATACGTTTTACATCAAAGTTTATATTTTGAAATCGGTTTTTATTGTCATAAAAATTAATTTATAATTGAATTAAATGTTTTTATAAATGTATTTTATATAACTTTAATTATTTTTTTTTTAAAGTTAATTCAAATATTTCTTTTTAAATGTACATAAATCGACCGAAAAATAGGGATTGGCGCAATTAAATGTACACTCATCGACTGAAAAAAAGGATTGGGCAATTGAATGTGCATACATCGACTGACAAATAGGGATTGGCACAACTAAATGCACATACATCGACTGACAAATAGGGATTGGCGCGATTAAACGTACATGATTTGGAACAGGGTTAGGGTTTGGGTAAGGGATAAACCAGAAAATGATGCGCCTAGCATTTTTTAACAGTTTTGGATTAAATTGTTGATAGAAACCAGGCTTTTAAAAATCATTTTTTGATAAGGTTTTTAATTATAACGGAGAATGAAAAAAATGGCAAATATTAGCATTTTTTAGTGTAATTTTTTCAACTTCAACATCAAATTAGAGCACATTTGTTGATTTTCAGACTTATGTTTTTATACGATTCTTAATCACCATAAAGTTCTTTATCATAATCAGCAATAAAAAAAGGAGGGGGAGGGGGGCAGGGAAACTGCAGTAGTGCCCGAAGTTATACTCAAAAAATCTCAACAACTGGAGTCGGAGTCGGAGTCGTTACTTTTTTTTTACGACTCCGCATCCCTGATAAACATAATGCTCAAATTTTGCTCAGCCACCGAAAACTGCTGTCGCAATCCCTTTTGAACTTTTTTTTTAAAATGTAAGATTAAATATAAAATAAATCTTTATTCACTTACGTTTTAGTATGGATGCAGAATGCCGTTACCGGAGTACTTTCCTATAAGTTCTCGACCTTTTATCAATGTTCCGCAATTTATTCAACCCGATTATTTGCAAATATATTTAAATAACAATTTATAAGCTGGTTTAATAATGTCATCAAAATATATTTCAGCAATTTTTGACAAACTGCTTCTTTTAAAGAACGTTTTTAAAGCAATTTTCAAATTATAAAATCAACTTTTTAAAGAGATTGTGTTTGTACATATATATTAGTCGTAGAGATATATAAGCATGATATTTATTATAGCAGAAGAAAAAAACATATATAAATATATAGGAAAAGAAAAATGTTTACTTAATTCAAGTATTTATCTTTGTTTTTCTTATCTTTTTCATGTTTTTATTTTTAAATAAATTTTGCAAATTTTTTTTTCTTTTTCTTTTTGTTAGAGCATATCATAACTCAACTCATTTTGATAATTTTGTCGTTTCGTTAAAATAGCCTTAATAAAATGAGACATAGTGCAGACTTAATAATAAATAGTTTTATATAATAGTATTTTAATAAAAGGTAAAATAAATAGATTATTATAAGAAATTAATTTAATATTTCAACGTATTCTGTAATTTTTAATATTTCAGCACTGTAGAGACTTAATTTGATTTGTCAACAACGGCTTAATTACGTTGTTCTTGTGTGAATTGTATAAAATTCATAATTAAATTTTTCACTATTAGTCATGAGTTTTTCTTTATTTAGATTAATGTTTCGCATCAAGCAAACGTCGACTTCTTTTTTTTATTTTTATTTGATTTGATTTTGGTTTTATTTGTTTTCAAAGGGTTTTACAAGGTCAATTTATTTTGCTTATATAACCTGCTCATATTGATAGAATAATATTGAGTTACTCAATAAACGACCCAATTCCAGTCGGCATAAAACGAGTTTTAGGCTTCTAAATTAATACGTATCAATTTTAATAAGTGTTTTAAACGTCTTAAACACGTTTAGTGCCCACTAGAGTTATTTCATCTAATAAGAGAATAAAACAATATTTATATTTAGAAATCATTACCCAATAACTTAAACTTATAGTAAATATCTCAAAATGTATTTAAAAATGAAAACATATCTATAAAAAATATCTATAAAAAAAACACTTTTAAGGTATTTATTTATTCTGTTTGGTTGGAAAATTGTAAAACGTTTAAAAAAATGTATTATTACTTTCTCAATTTTGTTTTAATGATTAGACCTTTTAACATTAACAAAAGCTACACGCATCTCCGTAAAAATACAAACACGCAATAAAGCTATAATTTTGTTGCCAAAATAGTTACAAAGTTAATAGATGAGCTTCGCTTGAAACTTTCACTTTATTACTTAAAAAATACTCTTTTTTTTGGTTATTGGAAACCTTAAAAGGCTTTTAAAACTAGCAAAACCTTTAATATTTTAAAAAGTTTTGGAGTTACCACCAAAAAAGTTTATTGTATGATACCACGATCAATTTAATAAGAAAAAATTTTTTAGTTGGCCTGGGGTTGGCTTTTTTGAGATAGGTTTATATTTCTTGAGAAAATGAAAAGTAATATTAGCAGTAAAACTGTTAATTCAAAAAATTATAATGGTTTAGCAATATACAATTTTATATTTTCTCAGTCATTTTTTAAAAATAAACACGTATTCGTTTAATTTTATGCAATGGCGTATTAAGGGTCTCGGGGGCCGGGAGCCAAAAAATATTTGGGGCCTTATTCCTAAAAAAATGTATTTAAAAATGAAAACATAAGATTATTTTTTTGTTTACAGAGAAACATTTCTTTCTTTTACATTTGCAAAATCAATTGCGACAGCTTAAAAATTTATATTTTTAACAGTGTTCTTTCAATTATCATTAAACAAAGAGCATTTAAACGATCATTTAACATTCAAAAACGGAGATCATTTTTAAATATTGCCATTTTTGAAAATACTCTCTCTGCACTACAATTGGTTACGGGAAGGATAAGAAAAATCTGATATGCGATGTAACATTAGGAAAAACTGATTCTAACTTTTTCCTTTAAATTGCTTGTAAATATTCAAGTGCTGATACATTCTTCTCATTTGCCATTAACTTGGAAAACTAAATAAGTTCATCAGGGAATTGTGTATCAAAGTCTGAAGGATAAATAGTACATAAGGATTTGGCAGCAGCAACAATGACAGGAACATGGTCTGAACATGGTCATAGTACGAAAACTAGTTAGAAAACCAAACTTTCTCTCTGCAGACTCGTTAGCAAAGTGCCTTTATTTCAAGCACATTTTCAACTTGTCTGTGATTGGGAAAAAAAAATTTATTTTGAATTTATCACTGCCACTAAGTACCACTTCATTCTCGCTATTTTTACTAAACGCTAAATTTTACCCTGTTTATACTAAACCTTGAACGTCAAAAAAATTTTCACCAACTGATGTCACATATTCCAATAGAGATTTAAGCAATTGAACACCAAGAGCTAAACCTGAAGTTTTCTCCTGGAGTTTCATACTAGTAGCATCAAATCCTGAAGTTTCATACTAGTAGCATCAAATGGTAAAATTATTCTGTGCTAAAGATCCGTCATAAAAGTAACATCCAAAGTTTTCATTTTTTTTAAAGTGCAGTGGTTTGGTTTTGTGTCTGACGTTTATCATTTTTATCCAGAATAATTGATTCTAATGTCTCAAGATGATTGTAATTTGAATGTAAAACTTTAGTAGAAATGGTTCTTGCTGACCACCTTGTCCCACTCAGACTTTTAATGGTGCGGTCTGCGGCCGTGGTGCAGTGGTTAGAGCGCTTGCTTTATAAGCAGGAGATTGAGGTTCAAAACAAGCTTTGGAAATATTTTGAGTCACGCTAAAGAAGGAGGCGTGAACTTCCTGTTTAATGTATTTCCGCGGTACTCTGTGACAAGACTGTTAGAACTTCTTGGGGCACCTAAATAACAAATTTAAAAAAAAAAGGTAACTTTCCTGTCCTTTCCAACACCACTTGCAAAACAAGAACAAACTATCTACCATCTGTGAGTTGAAGAAGCACAGAAATTATACAGGCATTGGAGAAACCCAAAGAAATTGGATGCAGCCTTACAGCTCGGGAGATTAGAATTATATTGTTTTATCTCCACAAATCAAAAAAATTGAGTTAGATCAATTTTTTTTCTTTTTATGGATAAAATATTTCTTTTTTACAAAAAAATCAGTAATTAACTTACTATACCTGACATTTCATTTTGTTCTATCTCCTTAATCCTGTTTATAAATTAAAATTATAATGCGCCATCTCCGTTTTATCCAATCAAAAGTTATTTACGCCAAAATGGTAGCAGATGTTCTTATTACAGAAAAACAACAACAAAACTTTCAAGGTAAAATATGTTATTGTTTACACACACAGCCATATGCATATATATGCACATACACACACATACATGCATATATATATATATATATATATATATATATATATATATATATATATATATATATATATATATATATATATATATATATATATATATATATATATATATATATATATATATATATATATATATATATATATAAATTTTTTTATTTTTTATTTTTTTTAGAGACTGATCTGACTGTTCTTGGAAACCAAAAAATAAAGATTGTTAAATTCTTGTAAATGCACAAAAAGTATCAGTGATGAAAAATTTTAACTTTGCGAGCTGTCAACAGCATTTACGCCAACTAAATTTAGAGAATGTCCTTCACAAGTTATAAACTCAATGTTTGGGTTATCATTTTTCAGTAGTGCTTGCAAATTTATGAGTTTGTATAATGTGTGGAAGTGTCCTATCTGAAACATGTATATATATATATATATATATATATATATATATATATATATATATATATATATATATATATATATATATATATATATATATATATATATATATATATATATATATATATATATATATATATATATATATATATATATATATATATATACATATATATATATATATATATATATATATATATATATATATATATATATATATATATATATATATATATATATATATATATATATATATATATATATATATATATATATATATATATATATGTATATATATATATATATATATACACATATAACAGCATGTTTAACACATAAAAAATATGTGTTTAACGTGCTGTTATATCAGTAGGTTGCATGTTATATACACATATAACATGCAACCTACTGATGGTGAAACATGCTGTTGAAGAGCACAAAAGTTAGATAAGTGTTTTTACTAAATTATTATTGTTCTGTTCATTAAGAACATTGAGCACTCTATTTGAAGAATACACTATATTTTATCTACTATAGCATATTTATATGCGCACTTGCTCACTTTTTTTGCTCATCTAAATTGATATAGGTTTTTTAGAAAACGAAGAGGGAAAACAAAGAATAATGAATGAAAAGGTTTCTGACCCATCCCAAAACCCTTAGACTATGTAGCAGCACTCCACTGCGAGTCAGGCTATTTGTCAGTCGATGTATGTACTGAAGCCCCCGGCAGTAGGCTATTTAAATATGACGTCACACTTCCCACCTAAATCAGCAATATAAGATATATACTTTAAATTCCACACACACACACTTATATATATATATATATATATATATATATATATATATATATATATATATATATATATATATATATATATATATATATATATATATATATATATATATATATATATATATATATATATATATATATATTTACTTTATATATACTTTTATATACTTTTACAGTCATAACATTTTTCAGCGTTTTAAAAGCTATTCTTGGCGCTTAAAAAAAAGAAATCTTCTCAGAATTAGATGCACTGGTTTAAGCAAATTAATAAAGGTTTATTGTTTAAAACAAAAATGGGTTGAATTCAAAAAATCTTTCAAACTTATTTTAATAAATTTAACCATAAGTACACATAAGTTTTTAGATAACAACTTTGTTGCTTAAAAATAAAATTTAAAAACAACTTTCTATTCAATTTAACGCGGACCCTTATAAGGAAAATATTTTTAGATATTGTCAACAAAACAAGACAACATTAGACAAATTTACTAGAAAATCAAAACGATTATTATTGTTTATGGGTCTCAATATATTCAATGACTTCGAATGTTTTTTTTTAAAAGTAAGCTTATTCAAACAAAATCAGATTTTAATTATATCAATGAAATTCAAGTAATGATGTTAAAAATTTAACTTGTGATAATGTTAATTATGAACTTTTACTTCTTTTTTATTTTATTTT